GTAGAGGTTACTCAGCTTCAGGCATGTGAGGGGATTTCTAGCGGCCTCCAGAACCCTTCAGGGGCCTCCAGGAGGGGTGGGGTCTCCAACATCCAGAAAACGCCAGAAGAGGATTTCAGGGGCCGCCAAGGGCCTCCAGGGCCTTTCCAGGGGCCTCCGGCGGCCTGGGGTCAGGCTGGACTGGCCACCCACCACGGCGGGGGGCGCGGGGGGTGGCCAGGCTAAGGCGTGTCTGCAAGAGTAGAGGGGGTTTTGAAAGGGATCTGAACGCCCTGAGGCTGGATGCCTCGGCGAATATGTATATTATGGTGTATTCTAGTATATTATGGTATATTATAGTATCTTATACTATATTATGGTATATTATAGCTTATTATATTATATTATATTATGGTATGTTAACAAGTTGGACTGCTAATTGAAGAGGCATTCCCCACAGGGCGGGCGGGGAGGTCCCAGACCTCCAAGGACTACTTCCAATGGGACGAGACTGTCTTAAGGGTGGAGAACGTGGTACCTACTCCAAGCTGTCATGAGGTGACCATACTCAAAAGCGAGTAAAGTTATAGTCCAATGCATACAAGTAGTCAAAGGGCCATTATTGCACCTAACCTTAGGGGCGTCAGCAATAGCCGCTATTGCCCATCGGTGTGGTTGAGAGCCCGCTCGTAACGGCGTACGATCAGACCCCAGTGTCCCTTGAAAGTTGGGCGATCATAAGAACATAGTCCAAATACCTTCCCTTTTTGACTTACTGGTTCTTTGTAGGGGAAGATCACAATATATCCCCATATCCCCTACTAAGAACAGTAAGTCAATCTTTGTGTAGCCGCATGCCGTATAACAAAGCCCAAGCTAGGGCTTCGTGGTTACACAAGTAGCCCGAAAGCCCAACATCCCTTGATTAGGGAATATACCCTTAGAACATAGCATGGATCCTAATATCAAGTGGGGTATACCCCATAATTTCAGGATATTGGGTTTTCTGGGTATCTTCTTTATCCGACAACTGCCATGCATGGGATCTAGAACAAAAGGTTCTCCTCGTTATTACTCAGGACTAACCCACTTGCTAACACCTAGCTGGTAGCCAACTTCTATCTAGGGGCCCTCCATGCAAGGTCCCCAAACGTTAGTCCCTAAGCCCTAACACCTAAACCCTACCCTACACTTCAAGCCCTAAACCTCAAGCCGTGACCCCTAAACACTAAACCCCAAGGCCTCAACATTCACCTCAGCATTTCTGAAAGCAACCTAGCAAAATTCAATACAACAGGCAAAATAACCTACACGCAAGAATGTGTCATCTTTGGCGCTAGGATGACGGTTTCGAGGCAGAGGCTTGGGCGTGGACAACCGTTGCAAGGGTTTAGTGTTTAGGGCACTACTCAATGGCTCCTATGTAGATCCTTACTTGGTTGTTATGCTTTTGGTAAGCCCTATAAACCCTAAACATACACCTATACCCCCAAACAAATGACACAACAGGTTCTGGGTACACTGTGAATACTGGAGAGGACACCCAAAATGCCTCAAAGGGGTTTTCGGGGTGAGGCCCCTTGAAAGGCATAGGTAGGAGGATGTTGAGGGTCTCAGGGTTCAGGGAAAGCAGAATCACGTGTAAAAGAAGATGGGAATGAAATGGAAAGTGGCACTATATGGTGGTCTATAGCTTGTTTCATGAGGAAGCCTGCATGATCACCCGCAGTATTGTACAGTGAAAGTATGCCATGCTCCACAAACCCGTTTCCATGGTTCTTCGGGCCCTACATTTAGGACCCAGGATTCGACCTGCTGGAAGAGGGAGGGGTATATACAGGTTACAGGTTTAGGGCTCATGGGCCAGGGTAGTAAGATGCAGAGTTTGGGGTCTTGGGCTAGGGTTCAGGATATAGTTGTTAGGGTGTAGTCTGCGTCAAGTAGTCGGCATTACTCCCTACACTCGAATGGGCAATCATGGCCTCAACACGTCATTGCAGCAGCGCTGCATGAAAGAGCAACAGCAGGAATATTCCCCATATTGCTGCACTTGGAAGTCTGTCGACATAATCCCCTAGAACGTCTGAAGGGGAACTTTTGAGCAATTTTCAGATGTAGCCTTGTGGCTCCCAAGAGCCCATTGTTTTAAGCACACTAAACTTAGACGCCTACATGCCCTGCTGAGAGGTCCAGGCCCTCACATCTCAGCTTCGCCTACATCCGAACAGTCGGGTGGACAAGGCCTTGGCCTTAGTCTTTGTGTTATATTGGGGTTATATTGGGGTTATATTCGGATAATGGAAAATAAAATGGAAACGTCCTGACCTATAGACTGCAAGACCTGAACCAGCGTGGTGCTTTTGTGAGGGTCCCTGCAGCCACAGAATCGTCGCTTCAAGACTTGTTTTGTTAAGCATAGCTTATCTATCTGGAAAGGTCTAGACTGAGCTGAGGGCTGTTACCCAAAGGGTCCAGGTACGTAATATTCATATACTTACCCAAAACCTGTACTATAATTACTATTACCCAAAACCCAAGTACCTAATTATTGGGTACATGGACCCTCTGGGTTACTGTTGATCAGAAAATCTTGCCCGGCTAGCTGCCGCCAGGCTTTGCTCTAAACCCTAAACCGTTAGATAGAAAGGACGCTCTGCTGGACGTCTACGCGAAAAGTTGGGTCCTTACTGCGCCAGGCTGCTTAAGGTTAAGCGGGTTGTGGGGTCGGAGGTTTGGCGGGTGACCACTTTTTCGGTGCAGGTAACGAACTCCTTGCAGGGAATGCATGGCATGCATATAGAGATTGAAGAATAATAGATGACGTCCCCACCGTTGCGGAACACCTCAGGGAATCCCAATTTTGAGGAATGTACCATGCGCTCATGTTACAGCCTCTAGAGTGGTGACCTCAGAGACCGAGCTTTGTAACTTCTGAGAAACCCAAGATCCAAACCTAAAGTGAATCCCAAAAAAGGGCGCGGAGTGCTGATTAAGGTTTGTTTTGTGAAGTGGGATCCAATCTGCCATGTGAGCTATAGTCTAAACTCCTCAAAAGGGGTTTTATAGGGGATTATATAGGGGACTACTATACGGCTTAAGGGGGATACTAGGAGTTTAGACAATGGCTCGTGTAATGCAGCTTGAAACCCCAAAACCCTCACTGAGACCCCACCTGGAGGCCTGAGACCTGTTCCTTGCCCATAAGGGTTTAGGCTTTTGAGGGCCCACTGTACAAGCCTACAGGGGCTTAGATTCTATTGGAAATGGAAACTGTTATTTAGGGTTTAGGGTCTAGGAATTTAGGCTGGGATAGAACAAGCAGGAAACTGGGTAAACCTCACAGGTGCTGAGGGGGAAAGCATCTGAATGACAATTTGAATACCTTAGCCCCAAGCCATTGCCCAAAGGGTCCAAGTACCTAATATTCATATACTTACCCAAAACCTGTACTGTAATTACTATTGCCCAAAACCCAAGTACCTAATTATTGGGTACATGGACCCTCTGGGTTGGGCCATGTCTCTAGACTCTAAACCCAACGGTGCTTCGAGGGTTAAGGGGGCACAGTAAGTAATAGGTTGCTCGTTGAGATAGTTGGGTTTATGTTGTGGCTTTTATAGGGGTTGTCAGTGGTGTTACCAAGTCACGGCGAACCTCCCAGCAAACCCTATTTTTGAAGTCTAAGTTCTAGATAATGATCAAAAATCTGGTTCTAGATTCCTTAATTATGATATGAATATGGCACAGCGTACCACACATGAACTTCAAAATGATGTTGGTGATTATCTAGGCGCCTGCACTAAACCCTTAAACCCTAAACCCAAACCCTAAACCCAAACCCTAAACCCTACCCTGTCTTCAAGGCATGAAGTGGGCCTTCGGTGACGAGCCGCAGGGGGAGTGGCAACCTTTGCACTGCACGCCGGTGCTGCCCTTTGCGCGGTTTTGTCTTCAGGGTTTAGGGTGGCTATCATACAAGGTTTGCGGGTGTAGCGGGGCGGTCATTTGGTATACACATGGTACACATGGGGGGGGGGTGGTGTTCTAAAAGGCAGTTTCAAGGAGCGGTTATTGGGTACCCCAGCCAGAAAGGGAACCTTCCTCATGGCCATTTGGGGGTTGTTGATTTTTCAACGGCTGCCACCCACGTACTGTTGATGCTAAAAATCCTGCATGACCTTGGTATACTGTGGTACCGTTATTCCCAAGGTATACGGTACTTAGGGTCATGCAGGAATTTTGAGTATCCACCGTCTCTCAATGGAAATATGATTCAGATGCAGGAGTATTAACCATACCCCACAACTTGCCCTACAGTCCTGAAGGGAAGGCTGTGACTAGGCTCCTTATGACACCTCCTGTGTCTCACGCAAGGCTGCATTTTGCATGCCCTTGCTAACAAAGCTGACTTTCCGAGTGGGGCCATGTTGTTTAGGATTTGGGGTTTAGGGTTGTTAAGCCAGCGGCCAAAAGGGTTTTCAAATTGAAGGAGTCCCTACCAAATCGCTCTGTGTTACACTCCCGGTGCATTTTTCCTCCCATGTAAGCTCAAACTGCGTCTAATCTCCTTCAGAAAGGTTACTGTTACCATTCATAATATTGCTTTTACTCATCATTTTGCATCCTAAGGTGCCTCCGCTGGGTCCACAGGAGAAAGTTCTGGACCTAGAAGGCGTGCAGCTTCCTGCCGCTGGTGCGACACTTACGGCTCCAGGCTTTTGGCTTCGGAAAAGTAATATTAGGATGTAAATTAAGCATTGAAACTGCTTTAATAATGGTACCTATAAACTTGTCTGCAGGCTATAGGGTAGCTGGTTCAGAGGTTGGGTGCTCGGGGACACGAGTGGCCACCCTGCTGCGCAAATCTGGCATTACATGTTTCGGCCAGTATCATTGCATCCTTGTTGGAAAGACTAAAGGCTAAATCCTGCAGGTTTTACTCTCGGAGCATTTTTGGTCAAGAAAGTACTTGGCAAACTCTTTGCATCAGTCTCGAACTCGAACTCACCTGGAATGGGATCATGGTCTCTCCATTCCATCACTTACCCCCGATGAAAAATCCACACAGCCTACCGGCTGAAGATGTTCTGCCATTATTCTTATAAAGCACTAAATCGCAGCTTCCATTTTATTCTCCATTATCCCAATATCACCCAAACATAACCTCCATACAACCCCCATAATCCATACAGTTTCCATTTTATTGTCCTAACCCCATATTACTATACTCCTCCCCATAGAGGGTCGCCATTGTTCTTAAACACTCCAGGCCTGTCCCTACATACCCTGGGGTTTAGGGGTTTAGGGTTTAGAAGTTTAGGGTTTACGGCTTCAAGTCCATTAATCTCACGTATTTTGCGGGTCTTCAGTCTATAAGAAATACCTGCTTGGGGCTTCAGGGGTTACCCGATGGTGCTAAAGCCTCACCCTCACCCAGCCTTAGCTGCTCCTCTTGACTCTGGGGTTTAGGATTTAGTGTCTAGGGTTTAGGGTTTAGGGTCGCGCTAAACCCATAGCCCTAAGTCAGACCCTAAGCCAAAAGCTCCGACGAGGTGCACCCCAAGTGCCAGACACTACCAAGAAGCCTCCGGAAGTTAGGCAGGCTTTTTAAAGCTGCGTCCAGGATTCAGGGCTTCAGCGCTTCAGGGTTTAGGGTTCAGGGCTTCAGCTTTGAGGTTATGGTCATGGATGCCTGCAGGGTTTACTAGGATCTTCCTGGAGATTGTTGAGATTGTTTGGGCATTGATTAGGTCAATGCCCGTACCGTAATAGCCGTTACATATGGAGTTATTGGGACCTTTATGGACCTCTGATTGCCCCTTGTCTCACCCAGTACTGAGCGGGTTATTACCCAAAACCCTAAACACTACGTGGTGGAAAGGGTTCCCTACACCCCTAAACCCTAAACCCTAAACCCTGAACTTGGTTGAAAGGGTTTAGGGATGTGGATTCCAGGACGTCGGGGCAGAGGGTTCCATGGCCTGCAAACAGGGAGAGGTTGCCTGCCATGGCGAGCAAGTTCTTAGTTTAGGGGGTTGTGGTTGAGGGTTTCAGGGTTTATGGTTTAGGGTGGATAGGTCTGCATATGGGGCCCTGGAGCCGGAGACCCCATCTACACTCTGCAAAATCCTAAACCTAAAACCCTGAACCCTAAGCCATAAACCTTAAACCTTAAAGCCTGAACCCCAAGCCCTCAGCCCTGAAGCCTGAAGCGGAGAACTGAGAACCCGAAACCAAAAACCCTAAACCAGAAACCCCAAATCCTAAACCCTAAGGATCCCTAAACCCTAATCCCAAATCCTAAGCATTAAGCGTTAACCCATTAAGCAGACCTAGAGTAGCCGTAACCTAGACCCTCGAAACAGGTTCAAGGTCTAAACCCTATACCCTAGATAAGGCCGTTTTATCCCTGTATCTCCCTAGTACGCATTATGGGGACAACCTACGGAATTTTCAGGTTGGTAGTCTTCCCCCATGCAAGCCTTACGTAGCCCTTATACAGTGCTAGTGTCCCCATATAATAGCCTTACATAAGCCGTATGTCTCCTAAACCACAGTTCTCAAACCATAAACCCCTAAACCCTAAACCCTTAGACCCATCTAACCCCTAAACCCTAAACCCTTAGACCTAATCCGCAAAGCCCTAAACCCTTAAACCTATATAACCCCTAAACCCTAAACCCAGCTGAGCCGAGCCGAGCGCAGGCTGCTGTATACGGCTTCGCACAAGTCGCATTGTCGGTCTGTAGCTTTCTCGACGGATGGACGCTTTTGCTGCGTCCTCAGCTGCGGCTAATTGGAATCGTCCACAGATGTGGTGGAGAGGTTGGGGTTATAGGGTTTGAGGTTCAGGGTGTGCCGTTGAACGGGGGTGGGGGGTGAGGGTTTGCAGTCCTTTGTTAAAGGAGGAGCGACATTGGGGTTCCGCATCCTTGAAAACTCCCATCCCATTATCCAATGAAATATCATTGCATTCATCTTGCCAGCTTTAGCAGCTTCTCCAGGGTTTCCTATTCTCTTGCCGCAGCGGTACCAGCAAGATATTGTGACCAAGGCTGACGTTCCGCATGTTAGTCGTGCGATTCGTTGGTCGACAGGCGCCACCGGATGCAGTGACGGCAGCATCAAGATCTTGGATACTGTCGGAAGCTGAGATACTGAGCATCGCTTTTGCAGCAGGGGAAGCCAGCATGTAGGATCCCATGCGAATACGCCAGGATGTCAGGTGCTTGACTGCATACTCCACAAAGGGCCTTTCAGCGTAGAGTGTATCCCGGAGAGACAGTGGGGAACAGCAAATGTATGCATGTTTCATGGGGGAGGCGTTTGCAACACTAGGTTGCGCAGGTAGTCTGAGTTTCCCTTTCATGCTCTGGTCTTCGAACTCAGCCTCACTGAGACCTTGCTGAATACGCTTGGCTTTGTTCTGTTTTAGATCGCAAGTGCATCTGGCCCTTGATTGGGCACAACTGCTCAAAACACGGATGATCACGGATGCCGGTTTCAGAAACTTACTGGTGGTGGGCAGTGAATAAGGAAAGAGAATGCCTATATAGTCCCTATACAATCCCTATATAATTCTCAAATAAGATCCCCTACTAAGAACCATTAAAGAAATTGATGATGCTTTGCCAGGCCAAGATGCGAGTCTGTGCCGCCAGCACGGAGGGACCTGTCGGCCGGATGCGTGTAACCGAAGAGGACGGAGACCACAGCCCATACGAGCTATAGTATAAGGGGGGTTATATAGGCTTAGGGTTTAGGGCTTAGGGCTTAGGGTTTAGGGTTTAGGGTATGGGCTTAGGTTGTAGGGTTCAGGGTCTAAACTCCTTGGGGGCGATTATATAGGGAAGTATGAAAGGGGTTATTAGGGGGGTAAGTGGAGTTTAGACTACAGCTCATAGCGGCAATGGAAGCCATCAGAGTCTTCAGCCTTTTCAGAGCTGACAGTACACCAGATCTCAGTGTTCTTGTCTGCAGGAGCTTATGAAGCCGATCGTGCGCACTCTCCAGGCCGTTCTGTTGGGATGATTGATTAGCCAATGGATGCGTACAGTAGCCCCTTAGTACTCACCAATAAGACAGGACTTTCCGCTGTTTCCCCGTTCCTTCATTCCCTACCAACACACCACCAAGTTGATTGTGAACCCAAAGCTAAGAGATGATACTACATGACATATATCTCTCTCTCTCTCCCCAGAAATCCCAAGTTTCCATGTCACGTCCTATTTGGTTGTCTATTGCATTTTTCACTCCTGAACCCTATAACCACGTCCCCTATACAGATAGCTATATACATATAGGTCTCTGGCTCTCTCGCTCTCTCTCTCCTCTCTCTTGCAGAACCCCCAGCTTCCATTTCACTCCCCATGCTCTCAACCCAGTCCCCTCCTAAACCCTAATTCTAAACCCCTAAGCCCTAAACCCCAAAGCCCTAAACCCGAAAACACCTAAACCCCCAACCCCCTAAACCCTAAACCCGTAAACCCTAAACCCTTCCCCGCGTCAGGATCACATCCAGGGCGTTACATGCTTAGCCTTCCATCCGACCAATCCGACCTTGTTCTCGGGATCGCTGGACAAGGCCAGGTCCCTTGAGAACTTAATTTCTATTTTTGGGTTTAGGGATTTCGGGTTTAGGGCTTAGGGTTCTAAGTACCAAATAATTTGGTACTTGGGTTTTGGGAAATAGTAATTATAGTGCAGGTCTTGGGTAAGTATATGATAATTAGGTACTTGGACCCTTAGGGTTAGAAATGCTGTTATTATTATTATTGTTATGGTTATCCTTTCTTAGTACTTTAATATTGTTGTTGTTATTCTCAGTGTTATTCTTGTTAGTATTCTTATTATCATTATTGTCATTATTTCTGTTCCCTTACTTTGTTGTTGTTACCATTGTTGGATATATCACTGTTTTCCTTATTACTATTACTATACTGTGATTGTTGTTATCGTTCCTGTTACTAGGGTTTAGGGTTTGGTGTTCAGAGCATGGAGGCCGTTATGGAGCCTTAGTCCCAAATCCCAGATTGTAGGGATCCCAAGAGCCCAAGGTAGGTGCACTTTAAAGACTTCAGGGCTCATAGCGGATATTGCGTGTTTAGGGTTAAGGGTTTGGGTTGTAGGGTTTAGTGTTCAGGGTTTGGGTTTTAGGGTTTAGGGTTTAGGGTTCAGCTGACTTGGATCCAAACATGACATGCTAACCTCTGTTCCCCACCTATGCCCTACATCTTCTTTTTCGACAGCATACCCCTAGACCCTAAACCTTAACCCAGGCAGTCAAGATCTTCGACCTGACAAGACCGCCGGGCCACAAGAAGGCAGGTACCTCTTTGCTTTGTTATCCTTGTAAGCATTATTGCTATCATTATTCGTATTACTAAATTGCTATGATAACTATGTCTATTAGTTTTCCCAGGATGGGCCATTGGACCTGATAAGCCCTTGATCAACCCTTAGAAGCATAACAAAGGGGAATTGAGGGTCTGATAGCCCATCCTGGTTTGTCCATCAACATTATGTGAAGGTGGTGGGGGGGGGGCTAAGTGCTTGAGTGCAAGACCTCTGTAAGGCAAACTGGTCGGTTGACTCTTCATACGGGGCAGTATAACCTTTAAACCCTTGACCCTTCAACCCTAAAACCCTTAATCCTAAACCCCAAACGATTAGAATCATAAGAGAGCCATTAAACTTAAACCCTACAAGTCTCCTTAATCCTACACCCTAAGCCACTAGAATCACTAGACCAACCCAAGCATAATCGATGAGTGGTTCCTGCCGATCCACTCCCCCCAACCATGGAGCGCCCACCTCTAAAATGGTAATAATATTCACAGAATAATGGCAACAAGAAGAAGAGTATTAGAGATACGACGTTGATGCTGCCATTGATGTAGTACCTTATACAGGAGTCATATTCCATATTTTGGAGAAGTAATTGAACCTAGTATTTCTCGGGTTCTTTTGCATGTCCTTATATACCCCTACATATCGGTAGTTTCCATTCGAATTCCATTTGATTCCCTAGTAGTTGAAACTCTTAAGCCTGAAGCCCCGTATGAGCTGTAGTGTAAACGCCTTAAAGGGGGATTATGCAGGGGATTATACACGTGAGTATTATAGGGGGTATTGAGGTAGACCCTGCAGTAGGGAGTGCAGTACACATTTAGGGTTTAGGGTTTATGGGATAAGTCAGAGTCCCTCAACTTGGGCGGTTGCCAGTACCGCCAGGCATTCTCCGTCCTACAGGACGTGCATGCTGTGAACAGCATTTGTCCAAACCTCAGCTTACTCACAAACATTCCCTTCGCCCTATACTACCTCCTCCTAGCTTCACGCTTAGTTAGGATTCCCCAAACCTGAAAACCTGCCTAATCCCTACAACCTAATCCCTAAACCCCATCCCTGGCTTAGGGGCCACCAGGGGGTTAAGTTGCGACGGCGCCAGATTTTTACTGCATGGGCCTTTCAAGGTTGCGCGGGATTACAAAAGCATATATGTAGAAATCATATCGGGTTATGTTGGGATTATACGAGTATTCCAGAAGTTTTCGGGCTATTGCCGCAACAGTGGTGCAAAACGAAACGTAAGGGTTTAACAGGGATGGCCTCTAACGATGCAATCCCGCCTTGCTTGTGTTGTGATGGTATAGGCACCACATCGGATTGCCCACAAAAGGGCATTGGTAATTACTTAGGCCGCCACTCAGGCCCCTGTACTACCTGCCAAAAGTTTGATTGTGCGTTGTCTGGCCCTGGTCTCACATCGGACCATGGTTTAGGCAAATACCTGAGCTGCCATGTAACCTGGGAGCTCTTTACAACAGTCTCAGTAAAATGCTGGGTGGCCCTGTGATCTGCATGTAAGCTCTATCTACTGTATGAGACACCCTAGGGTACCGCTCATTTTCCCCTTGCCCTCAAACCTCAGACCCTACGTTCTAAACCCCAAAGCCTACACGACATACTCTGAACCCTAGACCCCACACCATGAACCCTAAACCCCGACTCCCAATCCCTAATCGAGATGGTCGTTTCCAGAAAAAAGGGGGACCCCAATACAAACCCCAATAATTATAATCCTAATTATGGGGACTCCCGAAAAGGTACGCCTAATTTGGGAAAAATCTAAATGAACATTATTTATCTCGTTGAAGGAAATCCCAAATGCTGAAACCAGGCATCCATCCGTGCGGCGACTTTCTGTTCGTAGGAACTTCGCACCAGGCCTTGCTCTTCATGATTTAGGGTTTAGGGCTTTAGAGAGTCTAGGGTGAGGGTCTAGAGTTTAGGGCCCAGGTTTTTTTGGTAGACATATATAGGAAAACACAGGAGTACATAGGGGTTTCTGCCTAGACCTCCCAAATTCTCATAAGAATAGCCTGTAAATCCGCCGTTTAGGGATTAAAGGCCATTATCATGGTATCTTGGGGTGTCTAGGCAGTGTTTGGGTTTCAGGGCTTTGGGTTCAGGGTTCTGCGCTTAGGCTTTCAGGTTTGGGGTTTTGGATTTGGCGCTCATGCCAGGATGCGGGGTAAAAGCTTTCAGGGTATAGGGGTCTGGAGTTGTAAGAGTGGTATATTGTGCACAGGGTTAAGGATGGTCGAGACATAGGAGCCTGTAACATGCTCCGACCATTCCCCCTCATCGTTCATATTACAATGCCTTCTGAGAGCCCGCCTTTATGTGCGTGCCCGAGACCTGCTTTGAAGGCCGTTCGGCTCTACGACCTGCAGACGCTGAGTTGCTTCACGACAACTCGGCAAGACCAGCATCATACAGCAGGATGGTGGCTGTTGCCAGACACATGCACGCTTTAACTTTTTGGGCTTTCCTGCCTTCCTGCAGGAATCTATGATGTGCGGTGCACGAGTGATGGCAAAGTGTTGGCGTCTGCTTCTGCTGCGACGAGCTGAGCAAGTTGCTCAACTTGCATGTGGAAGGGCTGTATGTCAGCTTTGCATTCCCTGCTGAGGATGGTGGCATCAAATTGTGGGACGCAGTCACCAACAACATGATCAACACGCTTCCAAAGGCTGCCTTACAAAGTTTGCATGGTGGACATCTCTACTGTTAGTTGTTTCTCCTGTTATTAATTAGTTTTATTGTTATCATTCATGTTCACTACCATTCTTATTATCGTTATTCTTATTATCTTTTTTTAATAGCATTACTATTGCTACTTTCCCTTCTGCTGTCCGCAGGCTCACAGCGGATCGGCTGTTTGCTCGGTTCGCTGGAGCCAGGGACCTGGTTTGAGAGTGCAGCTCAATCTGGTCTGTCTTTCGTGAGCGAAAAATATTGTAATAGTAACAACAGTAGTGATGTTCATAATAACCCAAAAAGTAGTGACAATAATGGTTATAAGAGTAATTAATAACAACAGTCAGACTACTTGTACGGCATGATGGTAGGCCGCGGCCTCCGCTACCTGCTTAGCTGCGGCCAGGATGGGAGGCCGGCCGGAGAAGTATCAAATAAAGAAGCCGAAACAATTACAAGTACCAATGTTAGTTTCAGGATTTGGGTTTAAGATGGTCCTTAAGAGTACAAGGTATCTGAAAGAATGGACCTCAAAATGTGAATGGTAGGCATTTAGGCCCCTGTATCACTATTGGCAGAGAGCGACTACACGCTCCAGCACCCCCCGAATGATATATGTAACAAAAACGCATAGTATCAGTAGATAGCTCGAGTCAGTATGTGGCTTTATACTTGCGATTAGGGCTTTCGGAGGAGGTTTTGACACCAGGCCTAATCCCTAAACCCTGAATGATATACTGGTTTCCATTTTCGTTTCCATCTGCCTATATTCCACTATACAAGTAGCACTCTTTTTTTTGTAGTTTCTAATGCTCTTCCCAATTTCCAATGGCAGAAAGTTAAGACACGTGCAAGCTGAGAATCCTGCACCTCTTCGCAGCCTAAATACAATCAATTCAGACTAATGTCAAAAACTATGGGGATATATAGGGAAATAGAATAGAGAATCAAACAAAAACGGGGCTGCATAGAAGTATGTAGCGGAATAGGAAAAAAGGAAAGCACTAGATTTTTTAGGGTTTAGGTCTGGTGCCCCCTGACAGACCTTAAACATTAGGAAGTCCCTAACCCCCAAACCAACAGGGGTGGCATGTCCTGTGACATCCAGGCAGCGACTTTGGGATGTGCGCATGGGTCGAGAGGCCTCTTGTTTGGTCTTAAGATTCTGGGGTTTCCCCAAAATAAGGGGGTTCCCCAAAATTTGGGGTACCATTTTGGGGCTCCAAATAACTACTTGTAGGATTATAGGATTTTGGGGGGAGGATATCTTGCACCATCCAGGGGCCCTAAAGTACTGTAATTCCTAGGACTTTAAGGCCTTAAGGTGGTGAAAGCTTTCCTCCATCAACAGTAATATTGGGGTCCCCTCTTTTGGGAAAGTTGCCATCTGGCCACTGCTCAGGTGTTCTGCATGGGATTTGGAGCCCGAACTGCGGACTACGGCACTGCCGTCTTCTTGAACGGCGAGAGGCGCCAGCGTCAGCATCATCCTGTCTTGGGCAAGTGGGGGTTTCCTGAAATTTGGGGTACCCTTTTGGGGGTCCCTATAATAAGGACTATAGTATATTGGGGTCAATATTGGGGTACCCTAATATTGGGGTACCCTTATTTTGGGAAACTACCAAGTAGCTTCAGCCGTGTGAGGGTTCGCGGCTGGTTCAGGTATATCGCGGCATGCAACAGCAATGTCAGACTGAGCGACGTCAGCCTCTTTGACGCCACTACAGGCCCACAGCAAAACCATGCTTCCCAGAGGGTCCAAGGACCCGATAATAAAAGGGATATATAGGGATATATAGGGGTATATAGGGGTATATAAGGTTTAGGGTTTAGGGTAAGTATATGATTATTAGGTACTTGGACCCTTAGGGCTTCAGATCCCGGGCATTCAAGACATGACCATCAAGCATGTGGCGCAAGGTACACCTGTGTTTATGAAGCTGGGCACGCACAACAGCCCGGTTTATGCTATTGAGGCTTCGCCTGTTGACAGGAGCGCATGGATCATACAGCCATACAGCCACAGTTGACCTGGATTGCTGTCAGGGAGTCTAGAATAATAGAAACACCCCAATATGGATGCATGGTAATAAACTTTCTTGACTATTTATACCGGCAGCTGAATATGAGTACCTTACCCTCTGAAGTACCCAATAATTTGGTACTTGGGTTTTGGGTAATAATAATTATAGTACAGGTTTTGGGTAAGTGTATGATTATTGGGAACTTGGGCCCCGAGGGAAATAAGGCGTACCATTTTGGGGCTCCAAATAACTAGGATTATAGGATTTTGGGGTTCATTGGGTAAGTATATGATTATTGGGTACCTGGGCCCCTAGGGTTACCAACAAGCCAGTAAAGTCTGCAGGACGCTCATGACGGGGTGCGATGATGAGAAAGCGAGATATTTCAGCTTCGAGGCCCAACTTGTAAACGCACACGTTGGGGTTTAGTGTATATAGGGTATAGGGTTTAGGGTATATAGTGTATAGGATTTAGGGTATATAGTGTATAGGATTTAGGGTTGCTTGTAAACGCACTTTGGGGTTTAGGGTATCTAGGGTGTAGGATTTAGGGTTTAGGGTTCAGGATTGATCAGGATTTTCAAGTTTAGGTTTAGGATTTCAAGCAATTTGGGTGCAGGGTCCCTGTTCAGCCTTGGGAAGATTATAGGGGCCCTGACATTCTGTAAACAAAGGGTTTAGGGTTTAGGGTTTAGGGTCAAAGTTTGGATGTAGGGATGCCAAGATTCTGTCCTTGCCCTTGGCAAAAATCGAATAATTCACATTATTCCTACACTCCCCATCCACATCTACTTAGGATGTTATTGCCGTTCTTGCCCGGACGATTGGGCATTACACGCGGTACAGGGTTAGTCAGTGAAAGAATTAGATAGGACCCTTCAGGTCCAGAGGAGGTTGACTGTTCAGTGCAAGTGATAGTACCAGTCATCAGTAGGAGACCACGTAGATGTGTGCAATCGCACATTAAGCAGATGCTACATAGTGCTTCAAGTACAGGAAGTAGTGGACGAACGTCAGGCTTAAAACTATGAAACATTGAAGGACTGGACTCGAAACATGTTTAGATGTAGTTCAATACATGAGAGACAAGCATCTGAGTGTGAAGATTGAACGTGGGAGAACATGTGTTTGAGAGCACACGTTCGGAAACATGCCTAATGATAAAGTGACCCTAAACCCTAAAACCAGAATCCTAAACCTTAAATCCTAACCTTAAAGCCAGAAGCCTAAATCCTAAACCTTAAACCCTAAACCCTGAACCCTAAACCCAAACCCGTAAACCCAAAACCCTAAACCCTAAACCCTAAACCCTAAACCCAAAAGGGTCCCAAAGTCATTGCCTCCCTGGAACCACCCTGATGTTCCAAGGCCGACTGTTCTCAATCAGTAGTTGGCTTGTACCGTGTAATTCCAGAAGTGGCACAAGAAATGAAATACTCCCTAAGGGCCCAAGGACCCAAATAATAGGGTTTTAGAGTTTAGGATTTAGGTTTAGGGTCCAAGGACCCAAATCATAGGGCTTTAGGGCCCAAATACCATTAATGTTATAGTATTTGGCCCCTAAACCCCTATTATTTGGGGCCTTGCACCCACAGGGACTTGTTCAGAAAGCCAAGCACCAACCGAAATCGTGATGGAACACATACCAACCATTCATGTTTTTGTTGAGTGGCATTAACCATTATCTTCCAAGTATTTTTCAAGTGAGTAATGTTGCAGTACTGTTTCTGACACGCGTGCCTAGGCAAAGAAAGGATTGAGGGAAGTGAAGTTCATCATTTGTTGATACATATCAGTACGAATAAACTGAAGAAGCAGCCCTGTTGCGCACACTGGCTGAAATCACATCCGGCAAACTCGTTACTCCATTCACGTTCCTAGGCGATTCAATATCGTAATAGGGGACAGGACATTGCAGGGTAATATATGTGTTGCTACACACAAGAGACGGTAAGATGTGGGAGTATCTAACGAATTCGGCTTCATCTGCAGAATCATCGGCAACTGGAAGAGTACTCCATAAGCATTGTTGTACGTTCTTCTCTTGGAAGTCCGTTACGTTGTGCTCTGTTCCCAGAGTTTTGAGTAATGCAAGTGGCTCATATGTTGCACGATCTGCGTGCGTACGTGTGTGTCCACCTTTGTTGCATGTAAATGCTGACAAGACCGGCCGTTTAGTTTTTCAATTAGGCTCCGTCTTCAGTAAGAATTCACATCCTGTTGAACTTGCTGCTGCCAACATCGTTATAGGCAAGCAAGGCTTAAGTCCCTTCCTTTTCTGTTATTTAGAAACTGAAATACGTGTGGCGTCTGCCCCTGAAACATTCTTTACTCATAAAGCTTACAAATCTAGTTTACCTTCTACATATCATGGAAGATAGACCCGCTGCAAGTGGCCCCAAATTCTTTAGGAAGGATGTTTGCATGAAAAGCAGGCAATAATTTGTTTCAAAACAAGACGCTGTTGTAATCGATAATTTCTCATAATCGTGCCTTCTAAATAGCATGGCAGTAGATGTTCTAAAGGAAGTAAGTTGACTACGTCAGTATACTCCCAGCATGTTGCAGAAGAGCTCTGAGGTTCTTATTTACAGCTTTCGAAGCTGAGTTAGCTATGGAGGAAATCTTGCACCATTTGGTATCCCTAAAGGTTGAACTAACCCCAAGTAGCAGTTTCCATTTTATTTTCCATTATCCCAAAATTGACCCAAGATATTATACTAGGGTACTGCCCTCTCTGGGAAGATGACGCCGCCTTCATCGTAGATAGCTTGTTAAACCTCATTGCTGAACCTACATGGGCTCGAGTCTAAACTCCTTAAAGGGAGTTATATGAGGATTCCATGGAGTTCAGTTTAGGGTCTACACTCAATAAAGGTGGGTTATCTAGGGCACCATAAATTATAGGGGTATTCAGGGGTACTAGAAGTTTAGGCTACGGCTCACATGCGTTGAGCTCAGTGTAGTGTTGGTTAGCAGTCCCAGGGGAATACCCGGCGGTTTCTATCTAGGGCAGGATGCTGCATGAGTAGACCCATGGCATAAGCGGCTGCGCATGCAATCTTTGGGTACTTGCAAAGGGTACTTACCTCGATCTACCCTCTGTCTGCCTTAAATAGGGACCATATGTGTCCCCATTTAGCGGGTTACAGGGAAGGTACTTAGGAACCTTTTGGATTTTTGTGGCTGGCAGGAGCGCGTGTGAGCGTCGTGGCTGCGGGCGACCAGATCTGGAAGCTTAGCGAAAAGTGGGGCTGCGTCTGATGCTGCTCGGAATCGGGAGGTTTCTCAAAATGCAGGACCACAAGGATACGAGGTGAGTATACGGGAACTTCTGCGGGTCCCGATGAAGGACTTAATCAGAGTAAATTTGGAGACATGCCTGATGAGCTTGTCATGTCCCGTCCGATGAAAGCCGGCAGCCAGCAATGTTGACATGCCATGTGTAGGCCAGCCGCTATTGCCTGCTGCTGCCCAGCTTTGGCCCATGATGGCAAAACGGATACAGGGAGTCCACAGGTAGCGAAACCTAGAGAACAGCCAGAGAACTTACAGTCAAGAATGTTGATAGGACAAGCAGTGTTCTACTCTACTGGAAGCATTGCCCTTGTCAAGTTCGTGTTGCACTACATTCCAGATTTTTGTTGTGATTGCTGCTGCTCCTGCTGCTCCTGCTCCTGCTCCTGCTCCTGCTCCTGCTCCTCCTCCTCTTCCTCCTCCCCTCCGAACAAGGGACGGTGCGCATTCAATTTCGGAAAGTTCTCCCTGTTGTGCCGCTTTTGCTGTTGTAATTACCGCTGCGGCTTCTGCTGCTCCTCCTCTTTGTCCTCACGCTGCAGCTGATGCGAATGCTCCCAACCTCTAGCAGCTGCCACTACGGCGGCTTCTCCTCCTGCTCCTGCTCCTGCAGCAGGCTCCCGCTCCTGCTCCTCCTCCTCCGCTTCGTGCCAGCTAGTCCTGCTGCTACTTCCACGACGGCAGCTGCTGCTGTCATTATGGCAGGTCATAGGGTAAACAAACACGTGCAAGCGGGAGCAGGTAATGCACCATATAAACCCTCCCTGAAACAAGAAAACACGATTCTCCTTAAACAGTCGTGTCCATGTTCACTCCAAAATGGACCTCGAAATTTGTGCGTGCCATTGCACATGTTTTCTGTCTGTCACATATAGCAAAGCATAGACTGTGCAATAAATAGTTCCCATATCGCCGCGGGAGTGAGCAAGTTGCCATCCCGTCACGGAATGTCAAGCTCTGAAGGAGCCGAGGGTTTTAAGGTTTTCAGGGGCTAGGGTTTAGCAACTGGGGTTCAAGGTCAGAGTGTTCCCAAAATCAGGGTCCCATTTTTGGTACTCCTAAATATTAGGTGCCGTAATATGACCTATAACCAAAAGGGGCCTATTTTTTTTTGCGAACTACTCAGATGTTGCATTCACCTTGTCGTATATGCAGCGATGTCGTGGGTGTTGAAGGACAGATGGCCCCACATCAAGTCATTAGTTGCAGTCAGTGGCGATGCTGGAGCACAGCATAAACTCCCCCCAACTCACTCTTGGGATCCCTGACATTTTCTTCTACGCTGCCCTCATTCATGTCATTCATGATCCAAAGAACCAGTTGAGATTCCCAAGCCCTACACCCTAAACCCTATCACAATTTCTACGAGGGTTCCCGGTAAGACAGAGAATATTGGTGCCCCCCATGTTAGCGACTTTCAATACTGGAGAAACAGATGGAAAAGCACATGGGAAAAGAAATGGAAACCATGGGTCCCTTCGAGTTAAGGTTTCTGGTTTGGGGTTTGGGGTTTAGGTCTCGTTAAGGGGTATATAGGGATACGAAGTTATCTGGTGGTTTTTAGGGTTTATGTTAGCTACTGTCAATGTGAGGGTTGCCAGGCGGCCATTCCAGGTAGACACAGAGGTCAATTTGGTACTTCAGTCTATTCCCCAATCTTTTCTCGCATAGGAATTGATGTCCAATAGCTACATGAGCTACGGTCTAAACTCCCAGTATCCTTAATAGGCCCTCTAATACTCCCCTATCTAATCCCATATATAACCCCCCTTGTACGGAGTTTAGACTACAGCTCATATGAGAAACCTTGTAGCTCATGTAGCCCCATCTTCATTCTGACCAACATCTTTGTAGGGCCGTCTTAGGGATTGCACGTTAGCTCGGGGAGGGCCAAAAGCCCTACACTCTGACTATGGGTAGAGACCTTAGGGTTCAGGATGCAGGGTTTAGGATTGAGGGTTTAGGGTTTAGGATTTAGGGTTTAGGATTTAGACCGTTTAGGATTTATGGTTTCGGGTTTAGGATGTAGGGTTCAGGGCGTAGGATTTAAGGTTTAGAGTTCCTTCAGCTAGCCCCAAACTCTCCTTCCTCTTTTTGTGCTCTTGCCTAGACCCTCCTCCTACCCTCTATTAGGGCCTAAGTACCTACTATTAGGGACCATATATCCCCAATTAAGGGTACAAGGAGGGTCCTGGTAACCCTAAACCCTAAACCCTAAATCCTAAACCCTA